AAATAAATAAATAAAAATATGGTGAATGTTTAAAGAAAAAAAATTATTACAGTAAAAAACACATTGCCATTTATCCCCCTCAAAATACTCCCCCTCACTTCAAACACACATATCCCATCATTCTTGTCACTTTCTGAAGCAGTTCTGGAAGTCCTTTTTTGTGAATGTCTTTACTTCTTCCTTCATCATGACAGTGCTCTGTGTCACACATCACTTCTGGTATGGAAATTTCTGTCAAATCAAAACATTACAGTGTGTCCTCATCCACCTTATTCACCAAATCTGGCACCATAAGACTTCTGGGTCTTCTCCAAAATCAAAATGACCATGAAAGGTAAACGTTTTGAATTGATTCAGGACATCGAGGCAGCCACAACAACACAACTAACCACACTCATGAAAAAGGACTTTCCAAAACTGCTTCCAAAAGTGGCAAGAATGATGGGATAATGTGTTTGAAGTGTGAGGGATTAATGATAATATGTCTTTTACCGTAATACATTTTTTATATTTAAACACTCACCATGTTATTTTTATCATACCTCATATTCTACTTCTTTGTGGTGAAATGCTCTAAAAATACCAATTAAATCCATCTGGTCTGTGTGTCATTTAAGGCTGCTGTTTCCTTGTTGATTCTCTGTCTGGAAGATCTACCCATTGATGTCAAATGGAGTATTAAAGTTCCCTACTATGAATGTATTATTGTCAACCTCTCCCTTTATGTTGGTCAGTATTTGCTTTATATATTTAGGTGCTCCTTTGTTTGGTCCATAAATGTTTACAAGGATTATATTCTTTTGTTGGATTGATTCTTTTATCATTATGTAATGTGTTCCTTTTTCTCTTATGATAGGCTTTGTTTTATAGTCTATTTAGTCTGATATAAGTATTGCTACCTCAGCTTTTTTTTCCTTTTCCATTTCCATTTACATGAAATATCTTTTTCCATCCCTTTACTTTCAGTCTGTGTGTATCTTTAGACCTGACGTGGGTCTCTTGTAGACAGTGTGCATGGGTGTTGTTTTCTTATCAATTCAGCTACCCTATATCTTTTTTTTTTTTTAAGATTTTTATTGGGGACTTGGGGGAAGGGGAACAGACAAGTTGCTGTTGTTTTGTTCTTCAGTCTAGTTGTGGAGGACGTCGCCTCACTGGCCCAAGTTGGCACCATCATTGCGCTCTTCCTGGGTGAGGCAGATCAGTCGCCGGCTTCCGGACGGCCGCTCACGCAGGCTGCTGGCTACACATGGTAGCCCATGGCAACCCACTGCAGGCTACACTGTCGCTGACAACTCATGGCAGCCCAGCTCCAAGTTGGGCTGTTGTTCAGCATCTTAGCTGTGGAGGGCAGTGTCACTGGCCCTCATATGTGGGATCCGAACCGGAGCCCTCTGGCGTCCCAAGCCAGCTCTTAACCAATGCACCACTTGGCTGGCTCCCGATATCTTTTGATTGGAGCATTTAATGCATTTAAAGTGACTATTGATAGGTACTTAATTGTTGCCATTTTAGTATTCATATTTATGTCCTTTTTATTTTCCCTTCTTCTTCTTAAAGAAGTTCCTTTAACATTTCTTGTGATACTGGTTTGGTGGTGGTGAACTCCTTTAGCTTTTCTTGTCTGGGAAGCTCTTTATCTGTCTTTTGATTCTAAATGATAACCTTGTTGGGTAGGATAATTTTGGTTGTAGGTTAAAGTTTTTCGTCACTTTGAATATTTCATGCCAATCCCTTTTAACCTACAATGTTTCTGTTGAGAAATCAGCTGAAGTCTTATGAGAACTCCCTTGTAGGTAACTAAGTGTTTCTCTCTTTTATTACTTTTAAGATTCTCTTTTTGTCTTCAACCTTTGGTATTTTAATTATGATGTGTCTTGATGTGGGCCTCTTTGGGTTTACTTTGTCTGTGACTTTTGGCACTTCCTGGACTTGTATGTCTATTTCGTTCGCCACGTTAGGGAAGTTTTCCGTCATCATTTCTTCAAATAGGTTTTCAATTCCTTGCTCTTTCTATTCTCCTTCTGGTATCCCTATGAAGCGAATGTTGTTATGCTTGATGTTGTCACAGAGAGCCCTTAAACTATCCTCATTTTAAAAAATTCTTTTTCTTTTTGCTGTTCCAATTCGATGTTTTCTGCTACCTTATTTTCCAAATCACTGATTTAATTTTCTGCTTTATCTAATCTGCTCTTGATTTCTTCTAAAATTTTCTTTATTTCATTTATTATATTCTTCATTTTTGACTGGTTATTTTTTATGGTTCTTGATCTTTTTTATGCTTACTGTCTCTTTGTTAAAGTTCTCACTAAGTTCCTTGAGCATCCTTATAATGAGTGCTTTGAACTGTGTATCTGGTAAATTACCTTTCTCCATTTTATTTAGTTCTTTTTCTGGAGGTTTGTTCTACTGTTTCATTTGGGACATGTTTCTTTGTTTCCTTATTTTGGCTACCTCTCTGTGTTTGTTTCTATGTATTAGGAAGAGCTGCTATTTCTTTCAGCCTTAGTAGAGTGGCCTTCTATAGTAGGTGTCCTGTGGGACCCAGTGGTACAGTCTCCCTGATCACTTGAGCTGGGTTTTCCAGGAGTGTTCCTTGCTTGGTTTGTGTGTGTCCTCCTGTTGTAGTTGAGCCTTGATTGCTGTTGGCACATCAGTGGGTGGGATTGACTCTCAGGCTGACTGGCTGTGAGGATTGGCCATGACCATAGAGTAAAAGCTGCTGTGCAGGGGTTGACCCTATGGAGCAGGATTTGCGCCATTAGGCTCTGGTGCTTACAGAGACCACTCTTTGGGTGTGTTGCTCATGGGGCTAATCTGTTGGTGCTCTGTTGTAGTATGAAGTCAGCCATTGGGTATGTTGGTTTTGGGGCCTTTTGGGAGGGTCTCCCATGCAGGCTAAGGTCAGCTATTGCCTGAGAGTCATCCAGGGCTACCTGGTAGTAGCTACAAAGCAATCTTCAGTTGGTTGTTGCCTGTGCTATGTCTGGAGGCAGGTAATAGAGGCTTCACTGTGAACCGAGGTCGGCTGCCACCAGTATTGGGCATGAGATAGCTCAGCAAAAGTCCAGGGCACCCCAAGTCCTGTCACTGCCTGCCAGCTGCCTATAAGGCTCAGCCACTGAAAGAGCCTCAGGTAGGATGCAAGTTGGATGAGGCAGGGTCTCAGGGAGTCATATGGGATGAGGGTGTTCACAGGTTAGTGCAGATTCATATTGCGTGTTAGTGCTGAGCATGGGGCCACTCAGCAAAAGACTCAGGGAAAACTGTGGCCAGCTGCTGCCCCCTGGCACCCACACATTTCTGAGAGTTGTCCAAGAAAGACTGCAGTGTGGGCCAACACCTCCTGCCAATTGCCAAAATAGCCTCAATTCTCTTGCTTTTAAAGTGGAAATAATAACACCTGTCTTCACATATGAAAATTCTTCAAGCAATTTTAAATACTATATTATTATGAACTATTGTATTATACTGAATTCTATATAATAGGGACAGGGCATACCATTCATTCCATGTACTTGTTGAATTCTTCTATTTTAAAAAGCTATTATAAAGTCATTGATAAATATTAGACTTTTATAAAATAGATGGGGAAATGCAAAGTTCCTAGTTAAGGAAATGGACCTGGGACACACTGGTTGAAACCTGGAGAAAGGGCTATAATCACAGAAACACAAGTGGAGAGTTTCAAACGTGCTAATGGGATTTCAATGAGGATGTAAATTACCTTAGTTTTCTTTTTCTTTCCATCTGTGCACTTCCTTCTGTAACCTGCAGATCCCTTTGACTTGAGACTGGTAGGAGGAGACAGCCGCTGCTCTGGGCGACTGGAAGTACTGCACAAGGGCATATGGGGTTCTGTGTGTGACGATGGCTGGGAAGAAAAGGAGGACCAGGTGGTGTGCAAGCAGCTGGGCTGTGGGACGTCCCTTTATCCAAGTGTTAAAGCCCGAAGAAGCTTTGGCCCTGGTGTTGGCCGCATCTGGCTGGATGACGTTCGTTGTTCAGGAAAGGAACAGTCCTTAGACCAGTGCCAGCACAGGTTCTGGGGGCATCACAATTGCAACCACAAGGAAGACGTGGGTGTTATCTGCTCAGGTAAGTCTTGTAGATGGAGTTCATGAGGACTGGCATGGAGGAAGGTGCAGGAGGTGGGGGTGAACTCTGGGGATTAGGGTATTCTAGCAGTGTCATATAGCTGACCCTAGTAGTCACCCACTTTATGTATACTTCAAAGGATATAACAGAGTCATTCTAGTAGTGAGAATAATAAATAATAATAATAATATTGAACGCATACCATTCAGTTATTGAGTGTGAGAACAAGAGGGGTTTTAAAAATTATTGGATCATCGTCCTTATATTAAACATGAAGAAAGTAGAGTCAGAGAAAACAAGCAACTTTCTGAAATCATAAAAATTGATTTCAAATAATAGAGCAGAACTAAAATGACCAGTCTTGAATCATATCTCAGGATTAGTTCCCTTAGATGACTCCAACCCTAAGTTTAAGCTATGGAGGATGGTGCCACCTCATTCTACTGTTGTCACTCCCTAAATTTTAAGCTAATCTGTGGGGATAGAGTACGGAGTGCTTTTGGAATGCCCATGAAAGGTTCTTTTCAGAGAGAACAGGATGTAAGCCCTCAACTATAGACCTATTCAGGGGAGTGAATGAAGAAGTCCTGTTCCAAATTAAGCCAAGAAATGCAAGTTCAGCTTCTGGGTGGCTGACTCAAGAGAGCCACGGTTCTGAAGCCCAGCTTTGTAATCAGGGTGGGAAGCTGACTGTCGTTAAAAACCCAGATATGGAGCTAGGTAAGAGCTGATAGTTGACCAAGAACGTGAGTAGCAGCCAGTGTCCAGAAAAGAAGGAATTTAGTGACAGAATCTTAGGGTTTGAGCCCTGCTGCTGTCATTTGAGGCTATGTAATCTTAGGTAGTCACTTAACTGCTTAGAACATCAGCATTTTTATTGCTAAACTAGGGAGACACTTGTCCAATTTACCTTGAAGCGTTTTGTGATTGTGTGAGGATAAGATGCATTAATATATGTGAGTACTGTTTGTGACACACAAAAGCTGGTTGAGTAAGTCCCTGGGACACTGCACCAGATTCTGACTTGGCTTACATCAGTGAGGGATATGTGTGTGAGTAGTCTCTGGGAGGGTCTCTTTCCTATTCTGGGACCCAATCTTCCTTCTTAGCTTCTTTGAGCTCGAATGAAACAACATCTTCTTGGCACGCCGTTATCCTTACTGTACATTCTTTTTCTCTTTACAGAACAATAGCCTGGCTTCCCTGATGCTTAATCTGACCCCCACAGGCCCCGCGTGTTTGTTATTTTCTCATGGACCCTGATTGGCACATCATAAGCACTGGGCCTGCAGCTTTAGCTACCACTCCTTCTGCTCTCAACAGCAGACTGAGCATTGTATATACCTTGCTCTCAGAGCCACGCACCCCAACTATTGCTTGGACATATAAATCGTTGAATTCCTTATTGCTGGGCAAGATGAGCTCCCGGTAACTCCCTCTTCACTACTGACCCCTTGACTTTGATTCTGGCCTCTCCTGCCTCTTTTCAATCCATCTGGAATCCCCACACCTGTGATTTGACCAGTACAGGCAACGACCAAGGCAAGATTTATGTCTGTAACAACGCAAAAGGAATGAGACAACGAAAGAAACATGTGAAAGGAAATGTGGGTAGGCAATTACATGGAACTTGTGGGAACGCTTAATCTTTTTGAACTCTTTTTCTCAAGCTTCAGGTGATCACAACAATTAATAATATCTCACTATTCTTCTTTTACTTGGTAAGAGTAGACCATTCTTGCATGAGAAGGGCAGTATCCTGTAATCCTGGACCTTTTCATGACACGTGGAAAAAGATGTTGGACCCCCTGAATGCCTATAATAAAATACCTTTGTTGACCATCCATATACAACTTGCCAACATGGTTGACATTTAACAATAAAAATCTCACAAATGCATTTTAATTTTTCCAAGGGAAAATGTATTGGCTATGGGGCTGCCACTGGGAGAAGAGAAAGAAAGAAAGTAGAAAGAGTTTGGGGAGGTTCAGAGTTGTGCCTCATGCCAATCGGATAATATAATTTTCATTTTACCAACTCAGACTTTGGGGTCTGCAGTCTGACGTAAGACCAAGTGATACTAAGGAGAAAATCAAGACTTGATCATAAAAATCAACAACTTTAGACTCTGAGGCTAAGACCTATAATATACCTACATTTATGCTATCTAATAAATTAGATTTCACAAGTCTCAACAGTTGCCTGTCTCTGGGATAGTCTCTTTCTGCTCATGGGGAATCAGGGGTGTCAGCTTCTCAGTGATGGCCCTTTAGGGAGGATTAGGTAGAAAAAAACCTGTCAGCAGACACAACCATATGTGTAATGTAACTCTCTGCTATGGATGTGAAAATCCACAGCTTTGGAGTTTCTCCTAGCTTTGGAAAATAGGAAGAGAAACCTAGATTCATAGAAGAGAAGAAAATACCTTAAAAGACACTTTGGGATCTACCCTGTCTATTCAAGGGGATTTTGCCTCTATCTGATTAGTTCTCACATGTCTTCTTGATTTTCCCTGCAGACTAGTATCCTGTTCCCTTCACCCCATAGTACCTAGAATCTGGAGGCCTATTGAACTGCTTTGATTGAGTCATTGAAAAGCTCTTTTGTTCTAAGTAGAGTAGAACAGGGTTGGAATTTCACAAAAGGAGCTTTGATTTCCCCTTAATTTTCACATTAAAATTTCTTTGATAACACTCCAACCCTGTAAGACCCCTGAGAACCAATCAGATAAAAGTAACAGCTCATGGAGGAGACTGGGGTAAATTCCATGCAGAAAGAAAGACCTGACAATAGCCTACTAGTATTAGCAGATCCAACAATAGAGTATCGTTAAAGGAGAGGAAATTGAGAAGCTAAAAGACAAAGTTGAAGCTGGCCTGCTAGTACTGTCATGAAAGGAGGATTCCTTAACCTAAGTATATGGCTGTTCAATCTTTTTTTTAAAAACATTTTTTTAATTGGGGAATTGGGGGATGGGAACAGCGCTAGGGAATTGGGGAAAGGGAACAGACAAGTTGCTGTCTTTTTGTTCTTCAGTCTAGTTGTGGAGGACATTGCTTCACTGACCCAAGTTGGCACCATCATTGCACTCTTCCCGGGCAAGGCAGATTAGTCGCTGGCCTCTGGACGGCCGCTCACGCTGGCTGCTGGCTACACACAGTAGCCCATGGCAACCCACTGCAGCAGGGGTTGCAGCCTATGCCTTCGCCAGTGACTCATGGCAGCCCAGCTCCAGGTTGAGCTGTTGTTCAGCATCTTAGCTGTAGAGGGCAGTATCACTGGCCCTCATATGTGGGATCCGAATCGGGGCCCTCTGGCATCCCAAGCCAGCTCCTAACCAATGCGCCACTCGGCCGGCCCTGGCTGTTCAATCTTAATGTCCAAAGCGGACATGAATATAATAGTATATCAGAGTCCAAAGAGATTAGCATAGTTATAGTGACTGCCAGTGCTCACAGGTGTTTGTATTTGTGTATACTTCCTGGACATGCCATTAGTATCACACAGGTTTCTTTTAGTAGAAGATACTTCAGTCAACCCTCCCAGCCCCACTATAGCAAAGCAGTCCAGTAGACTTGAGCTTTGCATTCAGGAAGAATATTGCCCATTGGGTAGGTAAGGGCTTGCTAGCTGGCATTCGCTTTGTCCCCCAAGAGCCTGCGCCGTGACCCAGCCTCTACCAACATTTGCCTGGATACAGATCTTTAGTTTAGAATGGTCATGTGCAGTATGCCCCCTATCAGCTGCCCTGGGGCAGCCAGGAACTTCCAGACCTGTGGAATTGGACTCTGCTCCAACAACCTGCATAATCTCCAGTGTGGAGGGGGCTCACCCCCTGAAAATCACCCTGAGGTGGGAGCTACAATTTTGCTGCAGTCCCCATTTGGACTTGCTGTCCACTGGGTTCCTGGGTTTCTCTAGCAACCAGGGCTCCCAGGTATCTCATGTGATGATACCTGAGCCAGCTCACCTGGTCCAGCCTGGCAAAGCAGACCAGTATCCTCCAGCTCTGCCTTCAGCAGAAATATTTGCATTCGTGCAGATTAGAGCTTAAATTTAAGCTGATGCTTTGTATCCCCAAGATCCTGCTCCTGTGACCCAGCCTCTCCAGACCAGTGCCCTATTCCATGTCTCTCCTTGGCTACTTTGAACTGCACTGCATGTACATGTGCAACTTGCACCCTTTCAGCCAGCCTTGGACAGCCAGGTCTCTCCAGGCCAGTTGAGTTGGGGTCCAGCCCCAACCACCTGCACAGTCTCCAGTATGGAGGGGTCACACCCACCATGAGGCAGCAGCTGCAAATTGGTCACAGTCAGTCCCCATTTGGTCTTGCTCCCTGACAGGGCTTCTCCAGCTACAAGGGCTCCCATGACTCCCATTTTTAGAAAATACCAGCCAACCTTCCCTGTACCACCCTAGAAAAGTAGTCAAAGTAGTCCGTGAAACATCAGTTCTGCATTCAGGGGGCAAAATTGCTCATTGGGTGGGTTAGGGCTTGTGAGTGGACATATACCTTGTCCTGCAAGAGCCCTCCTGTGACTCTCCCTACTCATTTCCCACTCAAGATCCCTAGCTACACGGAACTGCTTGTCACATGAGTGCACAATATGAAACCATTCAGCCCTGGGCAGCTAGAGCTCTCTAGGCTTCAGGAAATAGGGCCAGCCCCCATCAGGTGGACAGAGCCCACATCTGGAAAATCATTCTGAGGCAGCAGCCTTACACTGCTGACAGTCAGTCCCCTTGTGTGCTTGTTGCATGATGGGATCCCAGGCTTCTCCACTAATGAAGGCTCCTAATGTCCCTTATTAGAGGATACCCTGGCCAGCCTGCTCAGCCACTCCCTGGCAAAGCAGTCCAGGTTTTTTCACTTCTGCTTTCAGGGGTAATACACACAATTGTGTAGGTCAGGGCTTGAAATTAGGAAGATGCCTTTTACCCCCAAGAGCCCACTGCCATGAAGGTGGATGAAGACACACTGTAATGTTTTTATTTGACAGAAATTGCCATACCAGAAGCCATGTGTGACACGGAGCATTGTCATGATGGAGGATGAAGTAAAGACGCTTAAGAAAGAGGACTTCCAGGGCTGGCTGAGTGGCGCGTTGGTTAAGAGCTGGCTTGGGACGCCAGAGGGCCCCGGTTTGAATTCCATATATGAGGGCCAGTGACACTGCCCTCTACAGCTAAGATGCTGAACAGCAAGCAGCTCAACCTGGAGCTGGGCTGCTGTGAGTTGCTGGCAACAGCGTAGGCTGCAGCCCCTGCTGCAGTGGGCTGCCGTAAGCTACCATGTGTGGGCGGCAGCCAGCGTGAGCAGCTAGCAGCCGGGTGAGTGGCCGTCCAGAAGCCGGCGACTGATCTACCTCACCTGGGAAGAGCGCAATGATGGTGCCAACTTGGGCCAGTGAAGCAGCGTCCTCCACAACTAGACTGAAGAACAAAAGGACTGCAACTTGTCTGTTCCCCTTCCCCCATTTCCCCAGCGCTGTTCCCATCCCCAAATTTCCCAATAAAAATCTTTAAAAAAGAAAAAAGAAAGAGGACTTCCAGAATTGCTTCAGAAAGTGGCAAGAATGATGGGATAAGAGTGGTCGAAGTGAGGGGGATTAATGGCAACGTGTCTTTTACTGTAATACATTAAAAAAAAATTTAAACATGAGCTGTATTTTTTTATCGTGCCTTGTATATATGAGCTAAGGATGAGGTAAGGTGGCTTCAGAGGACAGAAAGGTCATTCATAGGATAAGAAGAGCAGATGTTCAGTAATTAGAAGCTTGCAATGCCACACAGATAGGTCATAACAAGTTATTTCTGATAATAACTCATTATGGACAAGGCCTCGAATTTAAATTCTTTAAGGGATAGGTAAAAGTTTCTCATTAGCTGATAGGGTCTTGGTTGCCTTCAGCTTAAAATAATTCCTATGCCAATGTGGCACATCTTGGGGAAGCCTGTTCTGAACCTCTTTACCCCTAAGAATCATTTCCAGGGATTCAGTTGCTCCTGAAACCTACCTTGTCCCTGGTCCTGGGTTATCCTGACCTGTTGTGGCCCACACATGCAAATGCACAATGTACATACACATAGTCAGACAGCCTTGATCAGCTGGGACCTCCAAGCCTGGGGAGCTGTGGGGCCTTTCCCAAACCCCTGCATAGCTTCCAATGTGGAGGGTGCCCTCACCCCTTCTGGAATTCATTTTGAGGAGGAAGCTTTAAAGTGGCCACAGCCCAAGCCCTCCTTTAAACTTTCTTTCTTTCTTTCTTTTTTTTTTAAATGGGCCATCCTGCCACCTGTTGGCAGCTCAGCTTGAGCGGGGAATCGAACCGCTGTTGCTCAGAGCTCGCACTCTTTGAGCGAGTTCTTAACCAACTGAGCCACTCGGCCGGCCCTAAACTTTCTGCTGATGGGTTCCTGGGCTTCTCCAGCCATCAAGACATCCAGCTGTGTTTCTGTGGAGGAATTTGTGGCCACCCTGTTTAGCCTGTCCCTCCCTGTCAAGGCAGTCCAGATCTTCCTATCTCAGACTTCAAAAGGAAGAATGCACACATGTGGAAGTGAGGGCTTTTAATTAGGCATATGTTACCCGCAAGAGGTAGAGGCAGCTCCCGAGACCTGACCTCTCTAGATACCTGCCTTGTTCCCAGTACCTGGTGCCGGACCTGTGGCAACTTGCACATACACAGTAGGCAACCCATCCATAGGCCTTGGGCAGCTGAGGCCTTCCAGGCTTGGGGTGTTCATGGGGGTGGAGCTCCCAACTACTTGCATAACCTGTAGTGTGAAAGAAGCCCCAAATTGTTGTGAGGTGGCACCTTTTAAGTGGCCACAGTCCAAGTCCCCATTTGGACTTGCTGTCTGATCCAGGCTTTTGTGGTAATCAACGTCCAGATGTCTCTCATTGCAAGAATCTGTGGTTCGCCTACTTGCGCTTGCCCTGGCAAGGCCGTCCAGACTTCAGAGGGAAGAACGTGCCTATGTCTAGATGAGGGTTCTTAATTAGATATACACCTTGCTACTCCCAATAGCTAAAGGCAGCGTCTGCATCTTGGCCTCTCTCAACGCTTGCCTTGTTCTTGGCAACCTGTGGTGGCAAGCATGTGCAGTAGATTCCCCTTCAGCAGGCCTTGAGCAGGTGGGACCCTCCAAACCTAGTAGGCTCAGTGGGCAGCTTTCAAATCCCTGCCTATCCTCCAGTGTAAGGGAGCCCACACTCCTCATGAACACCGTTGAGAGAGATGCCTGATGGGGTCCCAAGCATCTTTAGCAATTAAGACTTCCAGGTGTCTCTTATTGCATGAATTCATGGCCAGACCATTTGGCCTCGCACTGGCAAGGCAGTATAGGCTTTTCCAGCTCAGCCTTCATGGGGGTGTGAGGGATGTGCATATGCGTAGATGAGGGCTTTCAATTAGGCTTATGATTTGTTACTGCCAAGAGCCAGGTGCAGCTGTTGGGACTCGATCTTTCCAGACAGATATCTTGTTCCTGGTCCCTCATGCCTGGGAACTGCAACACCCACCCATGTCCCGTAGTCATCTTGTCACCAGTCTTAGGCAGTGAGAGCCCTCCGTACATGAAAGGCTTGGGGGCAGCTCCCAATTTTTGTCATAGTCTCCAGCATGGAGGGAACCCCCCCACCCTAAATAATTGTTGTGAGGTGTTAGCTTTAAAATGGCTACAGTCCAAATCCCCATTTAGACTTGCTGCCTGATTGGATCCTGGGCTCTGTAGCCATCAAGATGTCCAGGTGTCTCCCAATGCAGGGATTCGTGGCCAGCACATCTGGCCTTGCCTCGGCAAGGAAGTCCAGATTTTCCCAGATCAGCCTTCTGGAAGGGAAAGGTACATGTGTAGTAAGGGTTCTTCTTAGGCAGCAGCTCTAAAGTGCCAGGGACATACAGGGAGGACGTGAACTGACTAGCATCAGGGTAAGGGATGGAGGGGCAGGGGGCAGGCCAGCTCTTTCCTTGGATGGAATTACTGACAGATGCCACTTTATTGAGTCCTCCCCTTACCCAGGCAGGTGCCATATCAGAGCTCTCCATTAACTTGGTTAGCACTGTTTGTCCCACCCTGGTGATTCCTGGAGACCCTGCCCCACTCAATTCACACGCCAAACCCTAACCCCATCCCTACACCTAAATTCAACCCTAACCTTAGCCCTTACCTCATGCTGACCCTAATGCTACATCTCTCTTCATAACACTAATTGTAACCCTAACCTTTATCACTTTTAAACCACAACCCTATAAACTCATCCCTCTTCATGACCCTAAATATCACTTAACCTAACACTAACCTATATTTAACCTCAACCCTAATCCTAAACCTTTGCTCAAACTTAACCATACCCCTAACACTAACCCTAACCCTGCACCTAACATCAACCCTAACCCTAACACAAATGTTAACTCTATGCCTTACTTCAACCCTAATCTTTACCACTCTACTCTTAACATTAACCTAACCTCAATTTAACCATGACTATATATTTAACTCTCTCCATAACTTTTTTTTTCTTTTCTTTTTTTAGCTGAGCCATCCTGCCACCTGTTGGCAGCTCAGCAGCTGCTCAGCTTGGGCCAGGACTCGAACCGCTGTTGCTCAGAACTCAAACTCTTGAGCGCACTCTTAACCAACTGAGCCACCATAACTTTCCATAACCCTAATCCTGAACCTACTAGAAACTCTAACCTTCTCTCTACAACCAAACTAAACCTAACCCTATATTTAACTCATTCCTAACCCTATCCCTTACAACATATAGACCTAACCCTAACATTTCTAATTTCAAAAGTAAACCTTACCTTCACCCAAACTCTAACCCAATAACCTGAAACCTAACACTATACCTAACCCTAAACTCAACCCTAACATTAAACCTAACCCTCAAGCTAACCCTATTCCTAACCTCTACCCTAACTCTACACCTGACCCTCTCCATTACCCTAATTCTAACTCTAAACCAAACACTAACTTAACCTGTACAACTAAACTAAAACCAAATCCCATACCTAGCCCCAACCCTAACCATATACCTAATCTGAACCTAAAACTTAACAATAACCTTAAACATATACCTAATCCTCTCCATAACCCCAACCTTAATACTTGCCCTATACCTAACCTCAACCCTAACTGTAACCTCAATCTTAACCCTAACCTACACTCTAACCTAATACCAAACATCAACCATAACCCTATACTAAACCTCAACTGTAATTATACCTCTAAACTTAACCCTATACATAAAATCAACCCTAAATGTAACCCTAAGCAGTCACACAGCCCCACCTTCTTGATTCTTTCCAACAGACGACCACGCTGCTTGTGACTCCTCCAATCACACTTCATAGTTCATGCTTGCATCCTGTATATGACCCTTGATTTGAAGCAATGGGAACTGATCAAACCCATAATGAACCTTTTGATAAATTTCATGTTTTTCCCAAAGGTGAGAGCAGGCAATAGAATTAGCAAGTTTCAGTTATTTTGAATGTAACTTGTTTGATAATCTGGGAACTGTGATTATTCTGGATTTTGGAAAAGATAAGAAGTTCACCACCACAAGCCAAGCCTAACTTTAAAAAGTAACTGGAGGTCAAAATTCCACTTGTAAAATCATTTTATTGGTATAAATATACATATGAATAAAATACCATCAGCCTATAATGTAAGTGAATATTTGTGAAATGTCTTAAAAAGAGTAGCACTTTAATTTTTTTTTTACAGGTGTCAAAGTATTCTCCCTTAAAAATCACACATTAAAAGCTAATAAGCAGAGAGAAATTAAAGGCCTTCAAAAAACACCAATATTCATAAACGTTCATTCCAATCAACTATATACTTTAATCTGGGCACATGGTAGAAGCAGCCATGGGCCCCTCTCACGCTGTTCTTACTGTGCTTGTTGATGATATCACAAAGGTCAATGACCAAGTTTAAATGTACAATTCCACATCAGGAAGGAAGAAGTTCCCCATGGGAGAATGTAGACACCCTACCCAAGATCTAATATATATATAATTTATACAAATGATTTATTAGTGTGCTGTTAATATAATTACAATGTGCAATTGCATATATCAAGAATAAATTGCTCTACTGAGTCAAGTGCAGATTTGACACAGGTACATGCAGCAGTACCCCACTGTCACCTGGGTAGTATTCTTGTGCGAGTGTGTGTCTAGTGACTTTGTTTACCTCCAAATACTCATCTTGCAGGGCAAATGGTACCGGCCTAAGGGAATTCAAATTGGGTTCCTTGGATATTTGCTGGCATTTGTTGAAGGCATATGAAGGAATGATTAGGAATCAAATGCCAAGGACTGAGAGAAGACCAAACAAATGTGCTTTGATTACCAAGAAAGGGGTCTGTCTTTGTCTTAAAAAAAAAAAAAAAAGTAAAGAAAAAAGGGGGAAAAAAAAAAAAGCACCAAGAGAAGAGCGCATAGGAAGTAGGAGGTGTTGCCCTGGGTTCCTCTCTGATGGCTAACACAGCACCCTGCACAGTGGGCCTTGCACATGGGTGACCTTCACACAAAAATAAAATCTTTTTCTGCTTCTTCCCCAGAGTCACTAGATTTGCTGCCTTGATGGCTGTCTTTACTGGAGGACCACTGCTTTTGTTCTTGATACTCCTGGGCCAGCTGGCCCCAGCTTCTCCTTGAAACTGAAACAGAAAGGAAAGGAGGTCGTTATCATTATTATTGATTAACAAGGTAATACCAGGGCTTGACCAGTGAGGTACAGGGCTCTGAAGAGTGGGGTGGAATCAGGATGAACTGTCTCAGAAACAACTGACGAATGACATTTAGAGACTCTAGACAGAAATTAAAAACAAACCAACAGAGCCAGACATAAATTCAAACAAGAAAACACACAAAACTTCAGTCTATGACAGGGTGAGCCTCTCATAGATGTGGTTGAGAATTTGAGGGTGAGGACTCCAAAAGGTGACAATGGAGGTTGGTGAGCAGAGGGAGATGCCAGCAAAAATAATGTGACTTCCTGTCACAGCTGCCCCCTTATGCAGCAGACTGAACAGGGCAAAGAGCCTGGAGGAAGCAAGCACTGCTGGACAAATGTTCCATTCGATGCCTCTGCAGACCATGTAGGTTGGCAATCTCTACTTTGGGGCAGGATATAAGAAGAGGCCTCAGCAATCTTTGTTAGACCTTTTTGTGTTTCAGAAAACCTCAGTTTCACTCTCCAGCAGATGAGTAGTTTCAAGTCTGGTGAAAATGAATTAATGCTGCCTATAATCTGTTTAATTCTTTTGGAAGCAGCCTCCAGGTGAAAAGAATTGCATTATTGTTTCCTGTTCTGATTATATGACGTCTGACAATTAAGTTCGTGAACTTGCCACCGTGCGTTTACATTGGCAGCACTGTACAAATAGCTCGGTAAGGTTTCATAACCTTGGTATATCAGTATCTTACAGCTGTGTTTGTTATGACATGTGGCGGTGTCTTGCTGAGTAGTGTTGATTACTGTTGTTGCATGTTTTTGTGTGCCGTCGCAAGAATGTCTGAGCTTCATTCAACTCAATACCAAAAAATCAAACAACCCAATCAAAAAATTGGCAGAGGATATGAAGAGGCATTTCTCTAAAGAGGACAGACGGATGGCCAACAGGCATATGAAAAAATGTTCAACCTCACTAATCATTAGAGAAATGCAAATAAAAACCACAATGAGATACCACCTCACTCCGATCCGAATGGCTGTCATCAATAAATCAACAAACAACAAGTGCTGGTGAGGTTGTGGAGAAAAGGGAACCCTGGTGCACTGTTGGTGGGACTACAGATTGGCGCAGCCATTATGGAAATCATTATGGAGGTATCTCAAAAAACTGGAAATGGAACTACCGTATGGCCCAGCAATTCCACTCTTGAGTATCTATCCAGAGAAACTCAAGACGCTAATTTGAAAAAATATATGTACCCCTATGTTTATTGCAGCGCTATTTACAATAGCCAAGACTTGGAAACAACCGAAATGCCCATCAGTAGACGACTGGATTAAAAAACTGTGGTACATTTATACAATGGAGTATTACTCTGCTATAAAGAAGAGTGAAATCGTACCATTTGCAACGATATGGATGGACCTAGAGACTATTACGTTAAGTGAAATAAGTCAGTCGGAGAAAGATAAATACCATATAACCTCACTTAAATGTGGAATCTAAAAAACTGAAAGAACGAGGAAAGTAAACAGAAATAGTCTCTTTGGTTGCTAGTTGGTGGGGGGTGGTGGGGATGAGGGAGAAGGGGAAGGCATTAGACAACATAAATCACTAACTACAATATTGCCACAGGAATATGAAAGACAGGTCAGGGAATATAATTAATAACGTTGAAAATAGTTTGTAGGATGTCGGATGGTTACATGTCTTGTTAGGGAGACTACTTCATGGATGGGGTAGTCTGTACACGCACTGTACACCTGAAGCTGATGTTGCATAATACTGTATGTCAACTATAATTGAATGTATATATATATATACACTCACGGGATGTGGAGTATAGTGTGGGAGTGAAGTCAAGGGAATTGTAATAGATATGTATGATATGGGGAGGTGGGAGTGGGGTGGAGGACTGGGGGAGGGGGATTGTCACTTTGAGGGCTAAAAAGTATAACTACTGCACTGTGTTGAACACCTGAAACTAATTTTAAAAAAAAAGAATGAGCTTGAATTAGAGCAATGAACAAATATTAAATTTCTTGTTACACTTGGCAAGAGTGGAAGTGAAATCAGGGACATGTTAGTCCAAGCTTATAGGGATAATGCCAGGAAGAAAACAGCGGTGTACAAATGGATTAAATGTTTTTCTGATGAAGAAAGGTCAGGGTGGCCATTAACGAGCAGAACTGACGAAAACATTGCAAAAATTCATCAAATTGTGCGTCAAAATTGTTGGCTGACTGCGAGAAGCAAAGCAGACCAAGTAAGCATCCAGAGAGAAACAGGAAAATCTTGGCATGAGAAAGGTGTGTGCAAAAATGGTCCTGAAGGAGCTCACCGATGAACAAAAGCAAAGGAGAGTCGAGACCTTTTGCCAAGACCTTTTGGAGAGGCAAGACGATGTTTTGGGCCACGTTATCACTGGTGATGAAACATGGGTGTATTAATACGACCCTGAAACAAAGCGTCAAAGTGCACAATGGAAGTCAGCCAATTCTCCACAACCAAAAAAAAGTTCCGTCAGTCCAAATCAAGAGTTAAAACAATGTTGCTAACCTTTTTTGATACCAGAGGAAATTATTTATTATGAATTTGTACCAACTGGACAAACAGTTAACCAAGTTTACTATTAGGAACTGCTGAAAAGGCTACATGGAAATGTTAGACAACCTGAACTTTTCGCCAACAATTCATGGCTCTTGCATCACAACAATGCATCAGCTTACACGGCACTGTCTGTGAAGGAGTTTTTAGCCAGTAAACAAATAACTGTATTGGAACACCCTCCCTACTCACGTGATATGGCCCCCAATGACTTCTTTACCCAAAGATAAAGGAAATATTGAAAGGAAGACATTTTGATGACATTTAGGACATCAAGGGTAATATGACAACAGCTCTGGTTGCCATTCCAGAAAAAGAGTTCCAAAATTGCTTTGAAGGGTGGACTAGGTGCTGACGTCAGTGCATAGCTTCCCACGGGGAGTACCTCGAAGGTGATCGTAGTGATATTCAGCAATGAGGTATGTAGCACTTTTTCTAGGATGAGTTCGCGAACTTAATTGTCAGATCTTCTATATAAACATGAAGGATTCACTGAGACTTTACAAAGCAATGATGGATAATAATTGCTGGAACTGTTCCTTTGTCATGTGTCATGTCACTCTCTATTTTATTATTGCTACTCAAAACTACCTTGGAATGTAGGTTTTACAAAACCTGGAATCAGGATTTAAACTACATCTCTCTCCAACGCCTATGTTCTTTCCAACTATTGGGCCGTGGGGAAAGTCTTGACGCATTTTTGCATTGAAAAATAGAAAAATACGTCATGACTTTCCCGACGACCCAACAGGTCATAGCTGCACTGCCTCTATATCTTGGGAAAAGGATTAGGTGCTATGCACCAGCATGGCTGTTAAGGGTTATTAAATATTACCATGTCTATTGTATAGAACACCGCTTAAGCTAAAAATACCAAACTCATGCACTTTATCTGGCTTGAAAGAACAGTGCAGGTGCCTCATCACTCAGAAGTTCAAATAAACCAACCAGGACTAAAGTCCTGGAAAAGCAATAGGATTCAGTTGATGCTTCTGATCATTTTGATTTTACCGCTATGCTAAGAATTCATCTTGCCAGGAACTGGCTATTTAAATGTTTAATCCACTAAAGAGTGTTTCAGGAAGTGAAAGCTCATGAAACCTCTAACAGTCAAAATGCAAACATCTTAAAGTACTTCTCTTGCCAATCTGGCCAGCAGGGCAGATTCTGATCTCTAGACAATAAAAGTTTAAATCTTCAGTTAATTACACTAAATTGAATGACCCAAAATTTAGAAAAGGATAAACCTTTCAAATCTCATTGTGAAAGTATTTAATTTAAAACATTTTTTTTACTTCTTTTACCCAAGTTTCGAGCAAATTCTCAGAATAAATAATTGATTTTTATTTTTTTTAGCATGAAAAAGGTAAAAAATTAAATGTACTTATTTGATTGATCCTTTGGAAGTTGTTTACAAGCCAGATTCTGGGACAAAGGTAAATAATTTTCTATAGTTTGCCCTTTATCACCAAACCAATTTGATAGTAATACACGAAGAGTCCTTTAAATTCTCAACTTCTGTGTGTCCTGTGAATAGGAGGAAGTAGGGAATATTTATAATGTCTTTATATCTTGAAGACATTTTGCAACAATCTAACCTCAAAATAGAACATTATTAGTTAAACCTGATAGAAAATTTTATCCATTCCATTTTAAAACCAAAATAAGTGTTCTTCCATATCAAGTGACTCAAGAATAGATTTCTAACACTACAAGTTCAAGGGAATGAATAAATATGGTGATACACTGCTTATTTGTCTTCAGAGCAAACATGTTTGCTCCAATTCTTAAAAAAAGCTTTTTATCCTTCCCAATGTTTTAGCTTTTTGGAAATCCCAAGTCTAATTCATGTTATGTGGTAGGACATCTGAGTACACTCTAAAAATTGGAGAAATTCATGCAATCAAAAATGTCTATGTCATAGATGTAACCCGAGATAACCATGGACCAGGGTCACTGTAGCAGGACTAGTTGACATTCAGAGAAATCCAACACAGGAATCTTCCTGCAAAAAGCAGACTGTCCTTCAGTCTCCATCCAAGTGACACTGGGTTTCTGAGTCCTCCCAGGCTGGGGCATGGGAGGATACAGCAAAAATTAACAAGTTACCAGGCTGATTTCTGGGTTGGTGGCATAGACCCGTACCCGTTATGAAAGCAACAATTATAATTTATCTAACAGTCACTGAGAGGAATAATTACATGTCCTTTTAGAGGGCTGTCAAAGCAGTTCACTATAGTAGTGACACTACTTAAAAATGCATTCTAAAAATATTCACTTTCATTGACTAAACTATCAAACATGAGTGTAAATGTGATAATGAGACTTGTACCAACCTGACATTTCCTTAGTATTATAGGTAGGCAACATTCTTG